TATCCTGAAATGTTCAGTGTTTTGAAATATCTATTGTCCTAATATGTCTAGTGTGTGTTCAATGATCCAGTCGTTCAGTGTAGTCGAGTCCTAAAAGTACATGAAAGATTGTGAAAATGTTTGAAGGATGTAAAGCACTCCCAAACACATTTTAATGAAATTAACTTGACACTGCAACGCAAAGGTTGCCTCTTTTATCTGTACGCAGTTCCTACAATCTGTTTAGTTCCAACTTTCCATGCATATATGATGTTTAATTCAAATTCAAAATAATCTTTATTTCATAGATAAGCATTATTACACTTGAAATCGTCACAATGGTTAAACTCTACCGCTCATTCGTAAGGCAGATTCCCCTGAGAAGAATGAGCAAAAAACTCTAGGGGTTGCTCTTTGTAAATAACGTTTACAATATTTTTTATATTTTTTATTTGAAACATCAAAGATCGAGACTACCTCCATGAGCTAAACGGGTTACTACCACGGATTTTTGTCACCCAAGTACGCAGAAGTTGTATAATAACCTTTAGTGTAAAGTTTTTGTTTCACTATAGTTTTAAACCTCGTGAAAGGCAAATTTTGTATATCAACCGGAATCTTGTTATAGAAGCGTATACATTGCCCGTTAAATGATTTTTTGACTTTGTGAAGACGACTATCAAGAAAAGTTTTTAATAATTCTTTTTTATTTTGATTTTAGTCTGACGTATCGTCAAAAGACAGAGAAGTGTCTTACGAACAGTTAAAACATTGGTGCGAAGAGAACAAAATCGCCACCTACATAGAAACGTCGGCGAAGAACGATAATAATGTAGTTGAGGCGTTTTCAATGGCTGTGCAGAGGTAAGCATCATCTTTTAGTTATCTTTCTAACATGAAAGTAGCTCGATCTGCTGTTTCACAGTTTGCAGTATTGTAAGTTTTGTTTATCAAAGAGGTTCCACCAAATTGTACCAAATTGTTTTGCCTCGTAAACCACGTGTCGTTTTTTCTTTTTTGCGTAGACCCCGTGCCTTTCTTATATGGATTTTTTTTACAAATTCTACAACTTCAAATATGGTTTTGACTGTTGACACTCACTTTGATAAGTTTAACTTTATAGCGACAATCTTTGTAAACATATGTTAAGTTTTATACATTTACCTAACCGAATACAGTTCCATATCTCGTTTGTTGTGAAATGTTTATTTCATTCGACCAGTTTAAATGGGTTCTACTCTCGTGGAACTGCATTAACGTCTCATGCACCCCCCATTTTTTTCTTTGACATTAACCCCTTGTAATTTATAATAGACTCATGGGCCCCTAGTCGATATAGATACCTTGGGGAACCGTCGGTTTATTACAACGAACACTACCAATACATTATCTGGATTCTTCTATACGTTGCAGACGCTGCTATTGTTTTCGATTAACATATAATTTATAATGTGCACGAAGCTAATTACACGATGTACAAAACACTCGCTTATCCGAAATAACGTGCTTCAATTGTTTTTAAATCTGTGGAAACGTAGCATTTAAACCTTATTTCAGATTTTTAAGTTTTTATTGTACATCATTATTAATAACACCCTTGAATTTCATTTTTAATTTACGAAGAACATTCCATGTTACATTACGTATCTACGTTTTACGATTTAGATCCTAAAAAATATATATTTCCAATGTGAAGCAATCGCAAAGGCCTAGGAACTCAATATGTACACACGCCAGCACATCAAGCTACACATTGACGTATCTTGTTCCGTTGGACTAGAGGCGATTTTCGAATAAAAATGTGTAATCTAATGTGCCGTTGTCCATCACATGTACATCCAATTACTTGCATTGGATAGTAGCCAAAGCTTGCATTTCCTTTTGAAAGTGCAAGACGACTTAGACTTTGATGTTGGAGGAGGAATTTCTTGTAATGATAATATAATTTCGTACAGTGCTCTTCATAACAGCCAAACTGCAATATACTGTAAATTTCAAACTATAATGTACATCCGAATATCCTTGTAGTCGTGTTTTAGTTGATTAGTATTGCTTCTACTTCATAAAAAAAAAATCTTTGCTAGATTTTTTTTTATGATACCAAGTGACGGAACGAAGAAGTCTTGCGCCTGGTCAGACAAGCCTGTCCATAGCAGTTGTAGTGCCACTCAGTGCTTTAAATCACAAAGATCTGAGGGCACTGCCACTGCGCCCGTTACGTTGAAACATAAGTTGACAAGTCCCATGTGTTTGCAATTTCACCAGCACCCTTAGCCTTCAAAGCTGAAAGGCAGTAATGCTCACATTACAGCTTGGTGGCAGAAATAGGTAAGGTGGCAGTACTTCCTAAGACGAACTCTTTCACAAGGAGCTCTACTGCTACTAAAATTAGATTTTTTTTCCCTCCTGCCATACCATCCAGTCGCATAGGAATTTGGGAACTGGAGAAATGCCGTTTTTCGGCGTCAGGAAGTGAGTTCCGGTACCTATCTGGAAAATAAGGAGAGTGCTGTACGTGCACCCGGGGCGGCTCACTTAAGGCACTAACCTTACAGACAACCGGATGAAATCCGTGCAAACGGGGCTGATCTTAGGACCTGACTTAGATGGTCCCTGTGCAGGCTCGCTCGTACAGGTCATAGTGCCCTTCCCGCAGAACCAAGAGGTTAATAGGGATGGGCACTATCACCAAAACTTATATAGAAAGATATGGGAGACCCTGTGTTCGTGACAGACCAGTGTAGTAAACGTACGGCACGGAGGCACAGTGGTTGCTAAAGCTCCACATAAGGAGAGTTGAATGCAATAAGCCAAGGTAAACAGGTGCGCAAATTGGTTGGAATATTTTACAATTGCGTGTTCTGAGTACTATGTAATTAACGTATATAATAACCTGGGGTACTAGAGTGGTGGATGTGAATTAAATCTAATTAAAATGTGTATACTGCCCTTATTTCTAAGATATGACTAACCTTTATTACCATCTACAAAGTACCCTTTGCCATGTTTTATATAGGCTCTTCCGTAATGTTCGGGCCTACTCTGCCAGGTCCCGGGTTGGTTGCGTGAGTACCAGATACATATATTAATCGTGAAATTTGATCAGGATGTTAGTAGCGAGTTTATTGCTTATATTTTTTACACGCACTTATTACATAATTATGTTTTGATTATTTGTTTATTGCAAACAATGTCACAGGCCTACCGCTTAAATGGGTCGGTTCCTGAGGTAGCTGCGCGGTGCGGGAGGAGTGACAGGTTACGTAACAGTTGTGTATGGCTGCACACTGGGTAATTTCAATAAGATTTTTCTGACGATATTCAATAACGTATTTATTGAAAAAAAAGTGCTTTCCAACTTAGTCTATGCCATTTGGCACTTTTTTCAGTCAACTTGATATTGAATATCGTCAGAAAAATGTTGTTGAAATTATTTCGTGTCCTGCGCGACATAACTGTTACGTAAACTGACACTCCTCCCGCATTCACCTCAGGAACCGACTCAGTTGAGCGGTAGTCCTGCAGTACAGGCATGACATAGTGCCCCGTTGGGTTGCAGCAAATAATTAGTTATCTCTAATAAATAACAAAAAGAAACATAGACTTTAAAGTACTTGAAATAGACACAAAATTAAAAGGAAACTGTATTGTTACATTATGGAAGATTTGAGAGTTCACCAGCTCTTGCACATCATCTTGTAGGAGAGTCCATGAAGTCTCTCACATTGTAGTAGCACCCATTTATGAATATGAAGAGACTTTAATTGGGTTTTGAACACGTTAACATTTCCTTTTTTTTAAGAAGCGAGCTTGCTCTAACTGAACAGTATATTTATGTATAATATTTATGTTTATGTTAAGATCTTAATATCGATCGTGCATTTTTAATAGTTTTGTTAATACTAATACTAGTAATCGATGTGGAAGCACAGGGGACTGCTTTCTTCATTTTTAAAATCTGTCCATCCAATGCTTCTCCAATGTCTCTTCCGATACATGTGATTTTTTTCGAACTTGTGCTTTCCTCATCCTATTTTTGCTCGCCACTTTAACAAGGACGCCAGTACAGCGCATTGGTAGCCACCTGCGCTACGGGTCTCCACTCAAGCACCCTTCTATCTGTGGTCTTGCCTACATTCTGTAAGGCCTGCCCATTTCTACTCTTTCTGCTGGATGTCAATAAGATTCGTTATTCTCCGGATCAAATTCGTTCTTGTCCATATCTCTGTGTTCCTTAGGGTTTAATAGTCAAGGGTAGTTTTTTGTCTCATGTAATTTTGGGCCCGGGAGACCGGTATAAATTTTTTCATTTTCACAATTACAAATGCGAATTTTTCTGTATGTGCATTACACGGAAACTTTTTGGGCTACAAAGTTAGAACGACGATTACTGTGGATTAATATGAAAAAATCCTCAGAACTTCACGCAATCTGGTCCTAATAAAATTTGGTATCTTTCCTAGTTCATTTTACTTATTTATTCATATCGTAAAGGCACGTAACGAACGACATTACATTGCGGTTGCCTAATCGTAACAATAAACCTTGCGATGTTGTAATTGTCGTCCATATAGTCTTATTGCGTCAGCTAACAGTTGTAGAGTTTACAGTTAAGGCCGAATGAGGAGGTCCACTATCTATCAAAGCATTATTTTGACATGTCACCGCTGCCGTTTATTGAAAATAATTAAATAGACATGATCAATACATTCTATAATAAAATTATTCAACCTGAGCACAAGATCCTTGTTCCGTGCAGCTGTGTCTAAAATACATATAGCCGTAATGATAGCCGACCTCCGGATGTCACCTCAAGAAGAAGAATGAAATAATATTACACAGCTTTTCTCCACTTCGTTATCTAGTATAAGACAAATAGTGTTAACTTCCACAGTGACCGAACGGTTAATATGTTCGTGTACCACGCAGATATACCGAGTTTGATTCCCGGGCCGGGACAAATGTCTGGTCTTCATTTATTTCTCTCATGAGTTTGGGTTGTCTTTGTGTGTGTCCATGGCACCCGTGACACAGGGTTTCCCTAGTGTGGCGCTTTAAAAAAAAGTGGTGTTTTGCTTCTGATCGTATTGTATGTTACACTATATTTTATTCGGTCCAGATTTAACCGCGCTGATCACGATGTGCATGAGGTATGTTTGCCATCGTGGTGGAAGGATTTGTCAATCGGCGTAAGGTATTCGCCGATTGTTGCCCAAAGCACGAGAAGGCTCTGATTTTTTTTTTTTTTCAATTTATGTTTTCTGTCGAGTGATCTGAATTATTCGTGGAAGATAGCGGCGAAAGTGATAATTAACGACTTTTTTGAAAAAGAGCATTGTCAAAATTTGTGCGACGGTCCCATTGATGTTGAAATAGAAACTGGTAAGAGTGTGTTGTATTACACCTGTCGAGGATCACAGCAAAACGTATAGAGAAATAGATATAATAAAAAAATATTAGGAATGTCGTAAAGCTTTTAAAAGAAATAGACCCGAATGTGCAACCGGCCTAAGAATTTAAATCGACTGCCATCGGTGTTATTTAACTATCGACATAGTTAATGCTTCAGGTAATGAGGTCAGAATTTATTGAATTTCAAACGAAGATTACTAGTGAGTGATCTTCAGCAAAATCGCCTTTACCTGCGGCGCTTAGACAGACACTCAATCATATTATGTATGTGAGCCCCCCTGCCGCCGCCGCTTCCGATGTACTATACACCGACGTACCGAGACATTGTTTGCAGTGAAGAGTGTATGCGAGCGCTTCGTATGAAAAAGAACCGTACGAGTCGTAGTATTGGGACTCAAAACAAAATGACGAAAAATGGTAAACAAGCGCGCGCTTATCCGAATGCCGATATAAACGTGCCGGTTACACAAGCAGATGATTCTTTTACCTTAGTTCAGCATAACAAAACGTAAACATAGGAAGACAAACATGCGTGGAACATTAGATAAATGGATGAGTTCAGGCGCTCGAGCCGCAACGCGCAATTTATATTTCGCAAACTACGAAGGATGTCACTGAATCTGACATGAAAGATCATATAATGGAGAGGGGTGAGCATTGTGTCAGTGTATGTTTTCAAAATCAACGTGGTTGGTAGCAAATTAAAGAGTTTCCTGAACAATAGCTTCTGGCCGGCAGAGCTGGTAAACCGTCGATATAGAGTACGAAATGCCCGCGCCGCCACTAATCAATCTCATAGTGAATCCACAAGTCATGTCCTCAAGCTGTAAAACAGCTCTTACGTCTTTTAATTGTGAATCGATAAAAGATCGCTGTCAAAAATAAACATATGTGTAAGTACACCGCTATCATTGCCATACAGGAAAACTTGGCTCCAGTCCAACCGATCTCGGTTTCATGAATGAAATTGATGAAGATTTTAGCTCATATGCAAAATCCTCACTCGACATCTCAGCGGCAGTGCTGAAGGGACGTCCGTACTGTGGCCTGGCGCTCATGTGATGAAGGGCGCTGGTTTCGTGACTGCTATCAAAATTACTTGCAATGAACGTCAATTTATTGTTGTGATTGTGTATATGCCAACGGATTGTGAAGACAACCTTACAGAATTCACGGAATGCGTTGCGGCTGAGTGCGGTAATAGACGATTGTGATGTGGAAGCGGTGCATGTGCTCCGGGAACCAGATTTGGTAGCGATTCTATCTTACTGCACAGAGCAGCGACTTGTGTGGTGGACTTGGATTTGCTGGGTATCGATTCGGAGACCTTCCCTTTAGTTAGTGACTCGCATGGTTACAAACGGTGGTTAAAGACTATGACTGGACACAAGATCGTCCGGTGCAACATACTCGCACGCAGGTTTTGTCGTTGTACTGATGTGATAATAACTCTTTTTAAAGCGTACTGTCAGAGTTTTTATACGTGCCTTCTTTGGTGTTGCTATACAAAACGCACTTACAACACATTGCGAGTTCAGTACAATGACGCCTTCAGAATTCTAATGAAACTGCCTCGCTTCTGCAGTGCCTCGGGCATGTTCATTGAGGTGGGTGTGCCCGATTTCTATGCCATAATCAGAACACGTATAGGGTCGTTCTGAACTCGCCTGTGAGATAGCAAGAACTCAATATTGAGTGGTCTTGTGGAGGACATAGTAGTTCTATTTTTCGGCACTCGATTACCGTGCACTTCACTGACAATATTATATGGCATGTTTGTTTTATTTTTATTTTTTAGTCTTTTTGGTTCAATGTAAAAATTTTGTATTAAGTTTTATCTGTTAAGTATGTAATGTATTATTATAATTTAATCATTTTGTTGTATTATTTGATTTTTAAACGTCGAAGTAATTAAAATATGTTTTATACGTGATTAAGTCCCAAATTAAAAATCAAATAATGTGCGGAAATCGTGAAAGTTTCAATCAAAGTATTTTGTTGTATATGGGTTTTTTATGCCTGAAATGTCAGTTATTATTATTTTGAAATCTTTAGGTAAAACTAAACTAATAATGTGACAACCCTACGCTGCGAGAGTCACGTGCAGACATTGTCGCGTCAAATAGGCGGGAGTCACTCTACTTTTTTTAAATATAAAATATACTCAATAGTATATTTTTTTCTTATGATAAGCGACGGGATGAAAAGTCCAGCGTCTTATTGTAAACAATACGCTTACTCATAGTTTATGCAACAACGTACTTTATACTTATTTACCTGTTTATTTACTTATTCCTACAAATTTGTAGCAATTTACAGAAGCATTTATTGAAACGCTAGAAGGCACTACGGCAACATAGCAGCTAAATGAAAATGTATTATAATTTGGCGATCGAAACATTGACTGGGAATGTTTAACGTTGCCTCTTAGAACCTCTCGACGAGATATTAATTAAACATTAAAATTGTAGACCACATTTAATTTATTTATTAATATCCCTATAGATACGTACGTAAAATGAATTACCAATGTCACCTGTTTTTTTTGTCATTTTACAATAGGTATGTCTTCTCAAAATGTTTTAGTTACTGAGTTCTTGTTCTCGCGATTGCTACATGTTGAAAAGAAACTATTTTTTTTATCCTTTTTTGTTAATTAAAATATACTTCAATTAATTATTTTTGTAACTATAGTTGTACGAAGAGGCCTGTGCCCAGCAATGGGACTATATATAGGCTAACTATTATTATTACTATTTAAATCTGAAAAATACATTTCATGTTTTAGTTCTTTTTTTATGATACCACTTGATATCATAAAAAAAACTGTCTTGACTTATTCGTCCTGTCACTTGACAGGGCGAACAAGTCTTGCGCCTGGTATTCAGCGACACGTATGTCCATACCATTCTCCATTTTGTACCTGTGACCAATTTTATGTATTTTTTACTGAAGAATTGCTATTGTTTCATTATGTTTCAGATGGTTAGAGCTGGAACAAAAAGCAGAAAAGGAACTAGGAATGCTGGATCACCCTGACGTGCTGACCCTACACGGATCGAGTACCACTTCTAGTCTCAGAGCGACCTGCTGTTCTAGGTTTAGCGATGTATGATAGCTTTTAATTCGTTTGGGATAATGCTGTGCTTGGATGCGAAATATACTATATACTAAATAGGTACTATTTCCAAAGTCGCACCACAAAATCTGTCCTATCTGTACATAACAGACGGCAGCATTTCAAGCTACACATTGACGGATCTTGTTCAGTTGCACTAGAGGCGGTATTCGAACAAAAGTGTATAACTTGAAGTGCTGTTGAAGGTACAACCTTTACATAAAAAAGCAACGAAATGAGAGGTTAATAAAGAAACATTTCGGTTCTAATAGATGCAATGGGGTTCCGACAAGGTGTCTCAAATACTGGCAGCTTTCGCTTTTGTAACTGAATACTTCTTGACAGCTTTAATACTTTTAAAATTCCGTTAGAGATTGTGATTAAAAATTACTACATGATAAAAAACTGATCTCAAAAGTGCGTGGAGTTACATTGTCAAGTTTTAAAGTAAAATCGGTTACCGGAAAGTGCGTGATACCGGATTGATCCCCTACTTTGCCACACTCAGAGGTGGATTATTTTCTTTTACAGCTTTACTATACATCTGCCAGCACTTGGCAATCGAATTCAGTCTGTTAATATTTAATGTTCTCGAGCGAACGATATCATTGCGTGACTTTTGTCGCCGCCATTTTTTCGGCATGTTGTTTATGTAGTTTCCTACAATCAAGTAGTTTTACGGAAATTTCCAATCAATCAAAAAAAATGTTTTCTGCGTATTTTGAGATACTTAACTCGGTAACCTCTGGTGGTTTGATTAGTTTCTACATAATTGCATCCAAATTTTGCTTGTGTGAAATAGCCTTCTATTAAGTATGGGCACAGAATATCTTATAATGTATTGGTGAATTTTTAGCCCTGCTGAAAGCAATCATACTGTTTATTTATTCGTAGAACATAAGTAGGTAGTCGATGTAAAATAATTTAATTTTAAAAAAAACGACCCCAAAGTTTGCTTATCAACTTTCACTGTGTTTGTTTTGCCAAGTTTTATTGAAATCGGTTAAAGGAAAGTTACTATCCGTATTCAACAAACCGGATTCATCTCCTAATTTGCCATCCTTAGAAGTGGGATATTTTCTTCAAATTTAAAAGGCACCACGACTAAGGTACCTCCCTTTCAACCGAAAAGAATCATCGAAATCGGTTCACAAATGTCGTATTAACGCGCATATAGTCGCGCAACACAAAAAAAAAAAAAATACACTCGAATTGAGAATCTCTTCCTTTTTTGTAGTCGCTTAAAAGTATATTATTTTTTCAGTTTCAGTTTTCTGATGCAATGTTGTTTCTCACGGATTTTTCATTACCTGAAAATTTGTATTGTTATAAAACAAAGTTAGTGACTAACGTATTACTTGGCACGGCTAAAAATTCACTCAAGTATCAATAACTTATTTTTTTGTAAATATGAAGTATTTTTACACGCCACACGGCTTTAGTTTAGTGTGCACCAATATTGTAAAAATGAACGGGAAAATGTTTCGAAATCAATTGTTTATATTCTAATTATAAAAGACTATATGAAACATATAAGAAATTGAATACATTAAAAAAATTTCAGAAACTAAAAAACTTGCTACAAATAAAACGAATCAGTACGTCTACACCATGAGTTAGCAAATTCTATAATCGCAAACGACTCCGTAGTCGTAGCGGTAGAGGTTTTCCAGGGAAGTACTGCCACCTTACCTATTTCTGCCGCCAAGCAGTAATGTGAGCATTAATGCGTTCCGGTTTAGAAGGGTGCTGGTGAAATTCCTGACACTTGAGACTTATCAACTTTTATCTCAGGGTAACGGGCGCAGTGCTAGTGCCCCTAAGATATTTGCGATTTAAAGCTCTTGACTGGCACTGCAACTGCCACCTTGACTTATGAAAAATAATTCACAAATTCCTATGCAATTATTTTTTATTCCTAGGCAATTTGTGCAGCGCCTATAGCGATCACGGGAAGAACTAGCATTTGTTATACAATACTATACTACTAGGTTAGGTTAGATTGTTCTTTATACAAAAAAAATGCGCATTTGACATCTCACCTGATGGAAAGTGACGATGAAATCAACGATGTAGCGTATACCACCTAAGTAATGCCTATTCGCTCCCGCCTTGAAAAGGCCCAGGTTAATCTGCAAGCAGGGAATTCCACTCTATAGCCGTTCGCCGTATAAATGTGGAAGCGCAACGCTTCGTGCGAGTCCTTTGAATATCCACAGCGTAAGAGTGGAACCCCAGCCTACGTCTAGTCCCTCGATGATGGAACGGGGAAGGCGGAATTATATCCAATTACATCGCATACTCTCCGGGATATATCTTTTAAAATACCCGGTAAGCAGGCAACTTTACGGTAGAGGTATAGCATAAATAAATCTAACGGCATTTCCACACTCTACTTCGATCCAACATTCGATTATTGCCTGTCTGATGTAGAAATCTAAGTTTACAATAAGCGTTTGTTTACACATTTGCAATTCGTTGTCTATGGACTGAAGTTCAACAACTCCGGACCGGTTATGAGATGTCGGATGCGTGAATAGTGGAGAAACGTCTATACCTGTAAATTTGTAACATTGTTTACTTCGGTTATTTGTGTAACGAACGTAGTTTTTTGTTATGATACTAAGTGTCTGGACGAACGAGTCGTGCGGCTGGTGATAAGCGTCACGCCTGTCCATAACAGTTGCAGTGCCGTTCAAACGGCACTGCCACTGCGCCCGTTACTTTGAGACATAAGTTGTAGTCCCAAGTGCCTGTAATTTCACCAGCAACCTTACCGTCCCAAACCGGAACGCAGTAATGCGTAGTTACATTCAAATTGAAAATTACTACGCTAACTCATAGTCGTTTTACAAATATCATGATTGAAAGAGAGAAAGGAGAAAGTGAGACCAATCGACTCGTTTGTTTTGGCAAGTATATCGAGGCTTTATTGCACTGTAAGTTTCATTCAAAAGAACCAGAATATGTACTGTTGCTTCTTGCTTAAGATTCAATTTCCAATAAATATTTTTTTACACCAAGCATACATAAATCTGTATTGCTAAAGTAGACAGAATATAACTTCAAGTTCATCTTATATTACACGACTTGATCTAATGTTTAGCAAACTAGCGTTAGAATTGTAAACAACTTTCTAAAGTATTTGAACGGCTTCGGTATAGACACGACAAAGCGATGCGGCGTTACTGCGCGTGAGTCGTTTAACACAGCCATTTCCATCACAGTCATCAATATAGTTTGTCTCAGCAAATTGGAGATTAAATTTAAAGACAGTTTTTTATGATATCAAGTGACGAAATGAATAAATCGTGCGCATGGTAAACGACACGCCTAACCATAACAATTGCAGTTCCGGAAATACCGGAAAGGGCACTACCACGGCGCTTGTCACCCTGAGACAAAAGTTGACAAGTCCCATGTATTTGTAATTACATTAGCACCTTTACCATTCAATACCGAAACGGAGTAATGCTCACATACTGCTTGGCGACAGTTATGGGTATAAGGTGGCAGTACTTCCCTAGATTACCCCTGGAAGGGTCCTAATAAAATAATGTGCATTTGAGCACATTCGGGACGAATACGATGCGAGTCTAAAGTATTATGACGTCGCATCACTGATGGAGTGTCAAAACTTGAAACCATTTATTTTACAAGATATTTTTTGGTTGTGATATTTATCATTTACTGCTGCGGCTGTCTTTTTTATACAAAAGATGTTAGAATCTCATTATTCGGATTTGTTTCGGACTAAACATTCCTCCATAGCTACATAAATTAATACTTTCCAAAGAAATTAAATATGTTGTACCAAAAATCCGGAGTGTTAAGACTCATTAGTTATTCATAACCTATTTATAGATCTTACCAAAATGCCAAAGAATATAACTTCAACATTCCACACTAACACATGTATAAACATATCTTCATTTTGTATTCCTACTCAAAAGGGTAGTAATAAAAGCTCCGAAAAATAAAATGAGCGTATTAAATTATGAATAATACTTACTAAGCTACCGAAAACTTTTGTGAAAATAAAAATACGAAAACAACCGAATTAAATACTGAAAGTTCCGAAAACGTTGCTTTCATAAGAGCGCGTTCCCATTACGTCTTCATGTTTTATTTGTCGTTGAACGACTGTCGCGTGTAGCCTGTTCCCATATCACGAATATCTGTCGTGACCGTGTCGTGGACGTTTATTTTATCATCGCACGACAGTCGTGTCTAGCTGTTCCACTAGATCATGACGACAATTTATCGGCCCACGGCAGCCGCCTTGTCGTATCGTAACGTTTTATTTATCATCCGACGACAGTCGTTCTAGCTCTTCACATTGTCACAACAGTCTGTTGTCGTAACGTCGAAAAAGTCGTGAACGACAGTTAATCGTGTTGTACTATATGTGCACAACTTCATTTAAATATACAAGCCACGACACTTTAAACTGTACGACTATCTGGCGTCACGACAATGGGAACGCTCCCTAATACTGCTCTACCAAGTTAATTTGTATTTTACCGAAAAATATTGTTAGCCATTTTTAACGTAAATCACCTATTATAAAAAAAGCAACCTTATACATTTCATAAACTTTAGTGCTTGGTAAACTACCCCATCCATTTTGTTGGTAGGACCCCATCACATGGAAATATTATAATGAATGAAAACAAAGTCATACATCGGATCGTTTTCAAATTTCTTTCGGAAGTTTAGTACAGGGTCAAGAGCACGTCAAGCTTTACACTTAAGACTTAAATCCAACTCTATGCCGTTGACCATAAGAACGGTCCAAAGTACAAAGTGTCAAGCTTGATGTGCTCTTCTGCCTACTACTGCTGCTATGCATTATTCCGAAGTACAGTATTTTTTGTAAAATTGTGATTTAAAGATTTTGATTGTTTGATAATAATTTTGTCGGTATATTTTGTGCCTATTGTTTTAGAACTCATTTCAACATAGCTTAGTATTATGATTAACCTTGTTCCGCTGCAATTTCATTTATTTTTCGGAACCTTTATTCCTCTACTTAAATCAGCGGCCTAAACAATTATATAGAATTATGGACTATGTAGTAAGTACTATTGTAAACAAGCACTGAAACATGAATTCGTCTCACAAATAGAGAGCGTAAATACATAGTAGTTGTTAGAATAGCGAG